ATTCTCTCTCTCTTCCTTTCTTTCTTCTTTCTCTCTCTCTCTCTCTCTCTCTCTTCTCTCTCCTCTCTCTCTCTCTCTCTCTCTCTCTCTCTCTCTCTCTCTCTCTCTCTCTCTCTCTCTCTCTCTCTCTCTCTCTCTCTCTCTCTCTCTCTCTCTCTCTCTCTCTCTCTCTCTCTTCGAGGTGATGTAAAAAGAGCAAGCAAATATGTAGGCAAATAAAGACTATTGGAGTATACAGGTAGGATTCATCAAATACCATACGAAAAGATGTGGTAAGATAAGGTTATCCCTTAAAACGTTCCACCCTAGTCCCGTTTTCTTCCATTTTTTGCCCTTTTTTATCTCCCTTGGTCCCCCTCTTTTTTTCTTGCGCCTCGCCTTCCACGCTTTTTTATTTTTCATTTTTCCCCTCGCGGTGGCTTACCCTCATCCCTTCCCCTTCCGTACCTCCTCCTGGAATCCTTTTTACGTAAACAACTATTTCGAGGACACTAAATCCTCCTCATTTGTAAGAAAGTTTGCATTTAGAAACTCCTCAAAGGCCTTCTGAGTTGATGTAGAACGGTAGTCAAGGACACACTGATAGCATGTTCCTTATAAATACAGTGCTGGTTAGGACTTGCCAGTATTAGTTGTTAGGGGTTAAGCAGCACGACTCCTTGTTTGCTTGTTTGGAACTGCTTGTTTCAAAGGCAAACCCTATAAGGCAGGTCAAGTGACGTCATTCATTCACCTACTGCTCTGCAACGGTAATATCTAGAGTTACAGATCATGAAAGATAAGCTGTTTCTATGTGTATTCGTTTTGTGTTCGCAGTTCATAAAATGAGATGAGAGAGAGTGGGTTTGTCATTGCAATATGAGACGTAAAGTGAAAAGTACGAACATGATACTGGATATGTTATCTTTCTGTGTCGTATTATTTTCTGTATCTTTTAATTCCTTGGGTACGCCATTAGTAGTTTGTTTATAACATTGAGGCAATATTTTTACATGTATAGGTGTGTATATAAAGACAGATCATCGCAACAGTCGACATTGTATAGTCTTTACAGACTGTTGTTTCAGTTTAAATTCATCAGTTCTTGCATGTCATACTTCGATTGCATCAGCTGATTTGACTCAGAAGTCTTGCACGCTTTGATGTATTGACACTTCCTTAAATCTGTCTCTCTGAGGTCAATGCTTAATGGATAATCTAATAATGTAAGTGTTATGCACTATGTTTGTACTCTGTGTAGTCATATTTCTAGAAGTACTTAATGTTTTCTAGATTTAGTCTCTTTTAAGTGAAAACTATTTGCAACAGCTCACCATGGCGAGGCACTGTCTTTGGCCTAGTTCCTGACTCATCTTCCTCAGCCAAGTCCTTCGTCCTACTCACCCGCTTTCTATCCTATTTGCTTTCAGCTCCTCCGTCAATGGCCTCCTCCGCCGCCACCTCCTTCGACTTCCCTTCCATCTCTCCCTCCTCCTCCGTCTCCTCTCCCTTCCTTCCCTACCTGCAACCTACCTCCCACCCTCCATTCCTCCCTCTCTCCCTCCCTTCCTCTTTCCCCCATTCCAACTTTGGGATCCAGTCTGGAGTCCGCCTGTCCCTTCCCCTCCTTTGGCCAGCATGTCTCTTCGTTAAGGGTCCAAAATACCTCCCTAATCTACTCTCCTCCTCGCCAGATGTCGATCTCCCCTCCGCCCGAGAACCTCTTCCTCCCCAAGTTTTCACAAGTTTTATCCGGTTACCCTGATTCCAATCCCCCTCCCCCTTACCCCCCCCCCCCTCTCTTGCTCTCCTCAGTGTTGCTTTCTTATTAATTTACGCTATCCCCCTCTCTCCCCACTTTTCCCTCTTTTCTCCGTAATACGTTATGTTTCTCAGTCTATCAAACTATCCCATCTATTCAACTACCTTGCTGTCCTCCAGCCTTTACGTTGAGCTTCCCGACTTTGCCACGCTTTCGCTTAAACTTCCAATCTAGCTACATGTAATTATTGTGTATTTCAGATTGCTCTTATAGTATGTACTTTTGACACCTCTCTCCCTACTACGCAGTGCCTTCCTCTGTAAATACGGCTTTCGTAGTATATAGACTAGTTATAATAACTATAATACCTCTCCCCCAAAGCCTATTTTCTCCCCAAGTTAGGTGCTGTCCGATCCAGCCACGCTAACCGGCCGAAAATGTAATATCTACTTAAATTTACAGCATTGCATTTCCAGATGGCTTTAGAATTCTCTACGAGTTTCAACTTATCCACCTCTATCACATTTCCCTTGCTCTTTTCACTGTCCTCTGAGAAGTAATCCAACGCGTTTCATTCTAAAATCTTTGCCTAGAAATTCATCCAGAATAAACATTTTCCAATAATCGTCAACAGCCTTCCTTCCTTTCTCATCGCTTTCCCTATTTACTCAACGACTGAGAATGCATTTCCCCAAGTTCATTTCATAATTCAGCCCCTGAGACTCGCACACCCGCACTCGCCACAAACGTTTCACTTTTGCGTGTGTCCTGATGTTGCTGTCACTCACCCTCACCCTGTGTCGCCGGTCTCTCATATGGCAGGGCCTCTCTCCCAGCGTCCCTGACCGAGAGTGATGTTGATTCCTCTGCTACGCTTTTTCATGTGCTTACTTCTTTTTCTTTCTCTCACTTTTCCCCTTTGCTTCCCCTTAGTCAACCCCTACTAGGTCTGCCTGTTCCTGCAATGAGTCCGCAAATGGTTTGGTTTCAATATTTTCAATAATATCTCTTTGCATCAGAGTGAATCATAAAAAGGAGGGTGACATAGTCTTAACAGAGGTATTAGAGAGCACACATTTTAACTATTCATTACACGTTAAGGCAATAAAGATAATGTATTAGAAAATTTTCAAAACTAAAGATGCGCCCCACGTGGTGGTGCGAGCCACAGCGGACCTCTCATTCTCTCGCTCTTAACTGACCTTAATCTCAGAACCCTCGCGGAAAAAGTTTTTCCTCCTCCTTTATCTCTTTCTTCTGACTTCCTCCCTCGTTACTAAATCTATTTACCCTTTCCTTGACCATGCATCTTCAACGCAAACCTCAATTTTCTTTGATTTCCTTCTTGCATCTCTTATTTTGCTACTCCCCCACAATTTTCAATTTCAGTCTTCTCCCTCTTTCGAAATGAATGTTTTCCGCTGCGCCTTTTTCTTCATTGTTTTTTTCCCGTCTTCCTAATCTTTCTTAATCTACTCTGCTTCCTCGTAGGCATCCCCTTCTTCCACACGTTCACGCCCGCCAGACTCTCCCTTTCCGCCCCGCCCCCTTCTGCCCTTCTTCAGCCTCCGCCAGAGTCTCCTCCGTCGCCTCCACCGGTCTCCTGAGGCGGGTCACGGACGGCCTACGACTGCTCCTTGCGATTTTTACTGCGACTTGCCCCCTCGCCACATCTCAGAGTTAATGCTGGTAATAGAACAAACATTAATGTCGTTTACGATCCTATTTGGACCATTTATTGCATTAAGACGACAAGGTGAATATGACAGTGAATCTTGCTTGTATCATATTACACAAATGGTATGTCTAAATGTAATTCGGACTCCCTACGTTTATTGTCATTGCATCAGTCGTAAAGGTGGGCGCCGCTATTTATACTTTTGAATAAAATACAGCAATAAAAATGTAGGATACTGATCATTTATAGTTTGATGATTTATTAAGAGGTGTCTCGAAGCTTCTCTCATTACTTCCAAAGCAAAATAATCTTCAGCAGAGAAAAAAAAAACATAAGCAGACAGACACTCCTTACGCATAAGGACAAAATTAATGACAGTCCTTAAGGATGTAAATAGAAAATATCATTAGAATTTTTGAAACGACTAAATTTACGTGTGACAATAAATCAAAAGGGGCTTTCATTTTTTTTTCTGTCATATTCGATGCAGAATTATCTTCGAATCTGTGTAAATTTGCAGTCCATAAGCTCATGTAATAAAACTTTGGCTGAGGCATAAACAAAAACTGTCTGTCAAAGACACTTTCGTCGGGAGTCATAGACAAATTTGCCAAGTGAAAGACACGTGAAGATAATCAAACCTCAGTAATGACAGATAGACTTTGGAGGCCCATTCTGATCTACATTCACTGCAATGCGGCGTCACAGTTGATGCAATGACAACAAACCTACGTTTGGAACATTTTAGCTGAATATATAAAATGTATGATACTACTATCATTGTAGAAGTAAGATTCATTGCAGTCTTAACGTATGGTTGCAGTTGATTATCTTCATTGAGTCTATAACGGGGTAAATGTTTGTTCTATTACCAGTATTAGTTTTGAGATGTGGCAAGTCATAAACAAAATGGCAAGGAATAGTCAGACCTTTCATGACCTCCCCCCCCCCTGCTCCTCCAACTCCCATTACCTTCTCAAACTCCTCCTGTCACCTCGCCCTGCCCTAGGTCTCCTCCTCCTCGCTCCCATCCGCTTCCCTGCTTCCTCCTGCTATTCCTCAGCCTGACGTCTTCCGCTTCACTCTCCTCCTCCCCCTAGATCTTCTTTTTTCTAGCTCTTCTTCTTCCGCCTTCCTATCTTTCTTCCTCCTGCCTCTCCCTCCTCCCTGGCTATTCCTTGATTTTCTCCTTCAGCTCCACTCTATTCTCCTGGTCCTTTACTTTACTCCATTTCAGTTATTCACTTTACCTCAATACCTGACTATTTCTTTATTTACTCCTCCTCCTGCTCCTCTTCTTTCTTCTTCCCCCCTCTTCTTCCTCTTCCCCCTTTCCCTCTTCCTCCTCCTTTCTTCTTCCCTTCCTCCTCCTCCTCCTCCTCCTTTTCAACCTTCCCCTCCTCCTTCTCCTGCTCTCCTCCTACGCTCGCTGCCCTCTCCTCCTGCCATCTCTTCCTTCCCCGCCTCCCACTATCCCTCCTCGTCCGCTTCCTCCCGCCCTCTCCGCCAGAGACGTTGCACCCCCTCGCCGGGTGGGCGGGCGCAGCTTCACCCGATGCTCAGGTTCTCATTCTGTTCCAG